AAAAAACGAGATTTATCAATTCATATTATTGCATCTCATTCAGAATCCTAATTTCTCCTATTATGATACAATTCTAACCTTTTTTTTATGATTTGCTTTTAATACCAAAGGTTTTCTTTTTCTAGTATAACGGTTTGCTATAAGTACTAGAACTTATTGAAATTATTGATGCTTCATAAAAAATTGTCTGTCCTCTTTAACAGTTTTTACAAGATATTTAACATTTTTCTCGGTTAATTTAGGTGGCCTGCTAAACCTGAAAGCATTTGAAACTTGATGTTCTGTCTTATATTTTTCAATAATATTATGTATAGTTGGCTTGGAATGGTCAAGAATTTCTTTTATATTTCGTTCACTATGACCACCTTTCCAGAGGCCAATTATTTCACCTCGGGTTTTTGGCATTGAAAAAAAATATATATAAACAAGTATTGGGGGGGGGGGGTGTGACTATATGGAAAAAAATGATCATTTTTATGCATTACATCAAAAGTTATAATTAGCCAATTTGTGTAATGATGACCGGGGAATGTATTGGAGTTTACGTTAAAAATAAAAACTTTAATTTACAAAATTTGGCATTAGATTAATAATACCCAAATTTTTATTCCTAATGTATCATTCTTAACCGTCAAGATAAATTTGTATAAATCGCTTTTTGTAATAATAATTCTTTAATTGTTCAGCCAGCCCGGATTCGCTCTTAATACCAACCCGTTCCTATTATGTTGCAACAAATTATTAATATTCGAATTTACAAATTAAAAAAGATATATATATTATATATATCAAATAAATTTTCAAACATGACATGACTCACCATTCAAATTCAACTCCACATTCAAACATGCAAACTTCATAGGAAGTTCCATGCCCGATGAGACAAATTCCCAAGTCAATCTTACAATAATAAATTAATTCCTATCAACCATATAATTTATTATCTCATAAAATTCTCAAATTAAATATTATAAAGGACATGGTAACAATTCTTACACGTCTTGTTGTCATTTTTACTAATTTCCCTTTCATATTTTTTCTTATAAAGTCCTTTTCTGTAATTACAAACAGTAACCTCGTTGTGATGAATGAAAATCAGTTGTACTGCAATTAATCAGTCGATCTTGTTATTATTAATAAAGTTTTGTTGGTAGATGATGGCAGTAAAAATTCAGAACCAATTGATTGTTCTGATACTATCTTTTCTATATTGATCCTTAATAGAAACTAAATTAAAATAACAAAATAGAGTGAATAATAATAAAAGGAAAAGTTCTTTCATGTTATAACATATATACCTCATGGATTTTTTAATCTTTTAATGTATTGGACAATGTAGTAATAGAACCTCTAAGTTAGACAACCTTCACAAAAGACTATCATGGCCTAACCTTAGATCTATCCAAAATAATCAATAATTAAGTTCGTTGAAATCATCAATATGGGTATCGATGTTAAAATCAAAAAAAAATTTATTTCATATAATATAAAAACCCTAACCCACCGTCCAGCCGATTTGAGCAAAACTCAAAAGCATGATATTGCATTATTGAAGAACGTCCCAATATCATCAAGCACAACAGGCGTAACATTTTTCGAATTATTGAACTGTAATAATTTTCTGAACCGTCCATTCCTTTCGATGAATGTCAGCTAGATATTATATAAAATGCAGAGAATTAGTAATATATCAGCGATAATATATCAGCGAAAATGAATGGTCAATGAACCTTAATAAAAAATTTGCTCAACTCAGAAATGTTTCATGCGTATAAGAACATTCTGGTTTTTTTTTCCATCAAAGTCCTTATCGGAAAGATGCCAACAATTTATTCCTCATTGTAACAAAAACCGTGTAAATTACTTATCAAGAGAGATTTTGAAATGATTCTTTAGACAATTTAGCCAATTATTTTTGGTAAAAAAACCAATTTTTTTTTATTGGATCAATTTTGACTGATGCACAAATTAGCAAGATTTTTTTCCGAAAAAAAATTTTTTTTTTTCACTAATACACCTCCGTTAATAATGTTAATGAAAAGGGTTCATATGTTACAAAATTTTAAATTTTCACATCATATTTTAAAATCGCGTTATCTAAAAAACCTTTCATTAATATCTACAAGTCAAATAAATAAAAAACCATATACTTCAACTGCAAAGGGTTATTTTTTTTTTTATTTTTATATATTTTTTCTATAAATCATCATTATTACTAAATATAATTTAATTACTTTAAAAAGATTATCCAATATCTAAAACAAGAAATATTGGAATTATAGCTCACATTGATGCAGGTAGGATTTTTTTAATCCAATTATTTTTAAACTTAAAATTTTATTTTATTTTATTTTTATTTTTTTTTTTTTTTACAGGAAAAACAACCACAACAGAAAGAATGTTACATTATGCAGGTTTCACAAAAAGATTAGGAGGTATTTCTCATATTATATGATATCTTTAATTAATTAAATGAATATTTAAAATTATTTTTTTTTCAAGATGTTGATCATGGAGATACAGTTATGGATTACATGAAACAAGAACGTGAACGTGGAATTACAATTACATCTGCAGCAATTACATTTGGTTGGAACAATCATCAAATAAATTTAATAGATACACCAGGTCATGTTGATTTTACTATTGAAGTTGAACGTAGTGTTAGAGTTCTTGATGGAGCTGTTACTATTTTAGATGCTGTTTCAGGTGTAGAAGCACAAACTCAAACTGTTTGGGCTCAAGCTGATAAATATGGTATTCCAAGAATCGCTTATATTAATAAAATGGATCGAATTGGAGCTGAATTTGGAAAAACTATTAGAGAAATACGTTATAAATTAGGAGTGATTCCTCTTATTTGTCAGATTCCTATAATGAAAAAAGATTCTAAAGGGGATATTATATTTTCTGAAATCATAAACATTCTTGATATGCAAGTATTAGATTGGAATAAAGATCCTAAAGGTTCTATAGTAAATAAAATTCTTTTAACTAAAGATAATCCATTATTTGAAGAAGCGGTTAGAGGAAGAACACATTTAATTGAAGTTTTATCTGAGATGGATGATCAATTATTAGAAATCTTTTTAGCAAATGAAGATCCTATGAAAGTACCTGTTAAAGATATAAAGGATTCATTACGTAGAATTACTTTAAATGGAAAAGCCATACCAATATTTTGTGGAGCTTCTTTTAAAAATATTGGTGTACAACCTTTAATGGATGCTATTATTGATTATTTACCTTCTCCGTTAGAATGTCCAACACCTTTAGCTACTTTATCAAATAATCAAATGATTGAGATTTCATTAAAAGAAAATGAAAAACTTTGTGCACTTGCTTTTAAGGTTATTCATAATCCTAAAAGAGGTTTTATGGTTTTTGTTAGAGTATATTCAGGTATATTTCAATTATTTTAATAATTTCAATTAATAAAAATAATGATAAATTTTTATTTATCTAGGTAAAATTAATAATCGAATGACATTATATAATACAAATACTCGTCAAAAAGAAAGAGTAAATAAGTTATTACAAATGTATGCTAATGATGTAGAAGAAATACCATCAATTAAAGCTGGTAATATTGGTGTGATTATAGGACTTAAAGAAACAAGAACAGGAGATACGCTTATTCAAATAAATGATTTACGACAAGATCTTCAATTACAAAATATAAATATTCCAGCTCCAGTATTTTTTTGTGCAGTTGAACCAGCTTCAACTTCAGATGAAAAACCATTAGAAGAAGCTCTTAAACATATATTAAGAGAAGATCCTTCCTTTCATGTTCATGTGGATTCTGATTCTGGACAAACATTAATTAGTGGTATGGGAGAATTACATTTAGAAATTATTAAAGATAGATTATTAACTGATTTTAAGGTTAATGCAGTCATGGGAAAAATGAGAATATCATATAGAGAAACTATTACAAACCAATCAGAATATACTTATTTATATGATTGTGAATTAATGGGAAAAAAACAAAAGATACAAGTTAGTTTAATAATTACACCTCTTTCTGAAAATGATAAAGGAGTATTAGAACAAGGTGGTAATAGAATTGAATTAGATGTTACAAGTAATATATTAATAGACACAATGCAATCTCAAAATTCTTTAATAACAAAATTAGATAAGGAAGAAATAGAAAAGGCATTATATTCTGGAATTTTATCAGCTCTTAATAAAGGACCAATATTAGGATTTATGATTACAGGTCTTTATATTAAAGTTCATTCTCTTAAATTATTTGAATTAGAATCAACAAAGACAGCAATTAGCACATGTGTTGCTCAAGCATTTGATAAAGCTATGAAACATGGAACACCAGCTTTATTAGAACCTTTAATGGATGTGGAAGTTGAAATACCTGAAGAATATTTAGGTGATATACTTTCTGATTTAACTGGAACAAGAAGAGGAATCATTTCCGGATTAGAAGTTTCAAGACATTCAATAGATTATAATGATTCTATAGACATTTATATTCCTTCATCAGATTTGATTTATACTACATCAAATAAACAACAACAAGTAATAATTAAACCAAGAAGGATTATAAAAGCTCTTGTGCCTTTATCTACTTTATTAGGATATTCATCTTCTTTAAGATCTTTAACTGGTGGAACGGGATCTTTTAGTATGAGGGTACATTCTTTTGGAATTATGAGTGAAGATAGAACGAAAGCAGTAATTCATGAAATGCAAGGCGGTTATTAAATAAAAATTTTGTTAAACATACATTTTATTTTTTATTATGCTAATTATATTACTACTTGCGCTAGAACAAGGATTGTGCTTTTTTTTTTTCGTTAGATTGGATTAATTAATATATATATATATATAAATATATATATATTCTAATATATTATATAGATAAAGACTATTGAAAGTATATTTTTTTTACAATAAAATAATAATAATAATAATAATTCAAATTATAATATTACAAAAATTTTTAAAGATTAACCTTTTCTTTTCTAAAAATAATTTCAACTTTCATTATTGTCTATAGATTTTGGTTGATCCTCAACGTTTGTTTGAATTTGATGCTCATGATCATTTTCGTCTGATTGAATGCCTGAAACATTTTCACTCTGCCTTCTTGAAGGGACAGCACTCGATACCATAGTATTTCCACCTATCGATTCCCTAAATTGTACTATTCGTGTCCTTTCTCCTCCATCTTCGAAAGCGTCGATCATAGATCTGACTTCCGGCAAACTTCTACGTCGTAAACTATTTTCTTCGTTTATTGTTCTAAAATGTCCAATAGGTCCAGGATTTGTCTTCCGTCGTCTTAAAGGTAGTGCCATGATACGACCCGTCCCTTCCTCTTGTGAGAATGCATAACCACGCATTGGTTCCGTTAATCCGGTTCTCATATATGTCATGCTTGTGGGAACTTCTTGCGTATCCGAAGTATTACTAGTGTAATCTGATGGAATAAGAGGAACAGGTGGAATAAATTGCTGTCCATGTATGCGAATGTCTGAACTTGTACGCTCTGTAGCAAAGCTTGGACGCGGAGTGTATGTCAATCCTGTCTCGGCGGTTATAGGCGATATCGATTCATTTCTTGAAAATAATGAATCTCTCGTTGGTTTTTTGGTCAAGCTTATGCCTCTATATATATTAGGATCATGTATAAAGTTATGTTCTGGATTCTTCTTGACAATCTCTTGTATAATATTAACGTTAATAGGGTTGTAATTTCTTTGATAATATCTTAAAGTGTATCTTGGAAGAATGGAAAGTACTGTGGACAATAATAAGCAAAACCAAAAGACCCCCCCTCTATACACAACATAATTAAATCCATAAGTTTCCGAAAATGGCATTAAATTATAGACAGCAATGTAAACGAAGAATAAAGCCATCGAACCAAAAACAGAAATAAAATGAAATATTGTCCAACATTGTGCATTAAATCCGGTGAATAAATTTGCCATCGTGATACTTGCAGCCGCCATTGTCGTACCCATTTCAAGATAATCAGGTGCGCGTCCTTCAGGATTGACACTTCCTCTTTGATAAGCAGAATATGGAATAAAGAAGCAGACCAAAGATTGATAAACGCCTTCAAACATAAAATACAAAAATGTTCGCATCTTATATGCTTCTCGATTAATACCCCTCTTATATAATTCAGGTACCTCGATAGCAACTCTATCAGGCACATCACGATCGAAAACCCCAATTGCCAGCACAGCTGTACATGTGAAAAACAGATTCCAAAATAATGTGTAGGTGTACTCAAAGATGATAGTTGTAGAGTACCCACAGAAGAATTGATACAAAAATAAGACTCCAACACCGATCATATTCTTATAAAAAAAATTGAGGATCATGGAAGAGTTGCGAATGTATGCGTAATGTCCGTGAACCAATAAAAGACGAGTGAGATATCGAAATTGTGCTATAGCATAATCTGATGCCATGACAGCCTGTAATCCTTCTTCTCCTGCAACTCCTATACCAATATGAGCAGCCTGGATCATACTAACGTCGTTAGCTCCATCACCGATAGCACAAGTCATCACGTTTTTTCCACACTTGACTAATTCCACAACTTTAGCCTTTTGTAATGGTGACACTCGACAACAAACAACACCTTTACATCGACAAGCCAGATCCAATAATAAATTTCTACTCCAAGGTTCTTCCAAAGCATACTTTAATGCTACTCCATCAATTATTAAAGCATGTCCTCCAAGCCTTTGCGTATTCGAAATACCTGACATAAAAGAAAAGGCCCCTCCTGTGCTCAACTCATGCGAATGGGAGATCGATGATCGAGGGACACTATTAACTGATGTAACAGGGGGGGCTTGTACAGACCGCATATTATTTTTAATATCCTGATCGGTAGGAAAGAACTTTTCAACAGCGCTACGCATTTGTTCATAAGCGCTACCCGACTCTCCATAAGCACCTCCACGAATAATAATAAGGTTCATGTCTCGGTTTAATAAGCAAGTTGAAAATCCGATACTTATTGCAGTTTCCATCTTATCACCCGTCAAGACCCATATTTTAATACCTGCGCGTTTAAGAGTTGCAATACATTCCGGTACACCTTCTTGCAAGCGATCTTCGATCGCGGTGGCACCAAGTAATATCAAATCTTTTTCAATTCTATCGCTAACAGTTGCAATCCTTTTATCACGATCCGTAAGTGAAGTTGATGCTTCACGATAATCTCCGATCCAATTTTGATAGAAACCAGGATCAATTTCCGCGTAACCTAAACAAAGCGTCCGAAGACCTATTTTTATAAAAAAGATTTGACCCAAAAGGTTCATATATATATAAAAAAAAAAATAAAAGGACAGTTCCAAGCAAAAAAAAAAAAATTAGTTACCTTCTTTTGCGAACTCTTCCAAGTGCTCGCCGGTTATATTCAACCTATAATCCTGACCACTTTTTAATCGCTCGAAAATAACATTATCGGCCCCTTTGCAATATAAGGTTATACGACCATCCAACGGTGATCGCACAATAATACTCATCCTTTTCCTTGTACTTGTAAATTCAAGAACATTCAATAACTCAAAATGAACTTCTTTACCGCTTGGTGCAGTAATGACAATATTATCAGGTTCACGTGAACGAAAAGTATAACCCATTTCTTTCGCAGCCTGTACAAGTGCAGATTCATCAGGTGATTGGGCTTTATATTGTGGTTCTCCATCAGCATTTGTACTGACCAGCACGGTATGACAAATGGCGAGAAGGGTGAAGAAGTCATTAATAGTCTTTGCGTGACAAGGATCGCCAGATTCCATATCTCGCAAAAGTTCGTTATCAGCAAAAACCTTTTTCGTTAAATTTTCTTTTGACTCCTTTTTATTTTCATTATTATTCTTAGAAAAGCCAGAATTTTTAGGAACATTTGATTGAGAACCAGTTGTCGAATTTGGAATTAGGATTGGTGTTGGTTTTTCATGATCATTCAATATTATACTCGGCGTGGATGTACCAACTTCAGTGTCACCATCCAAGGTTTCACCATGATACGCCTTTCCACCAATAGAACATTTTCGAAACTCCATTACATTTCGTGTTAAAGTGCCAGTCTTATCAGAGAAAATATATTCGATTTGACCTGTTATTAACATTAATGAAACAAAGGAATGGTCATTAAACTTCTAATAAATAAGAAATTATGTTGTCGTTGTTTAATAAAGAATATAATACCCAAATCATCTGACAAATTCCAATTTTTAGGAATGCAAGGAGTATCTGTTTCAGCATAACGCATTTCATCATCCATGTAAATAAAGAAAGCCTAAGGATATGAGGATGTATTCATTTAGATGATGCGCAAGTGGTTTGTTTAAACATGTCATACATAAAGCAATGGAACAAAACTCACTTGAACAGACTTGACAAATTCAATTGATAAGTATAATGAAATGGGAACGATGTTTTGAAAAACGATCAAAGCATTGCTACAAATTAGTATAGATAGCAAAGGATTAATAAGAAATAATAGAGAGGATCGCGTAAGAAATTAAAACAGAATTTACCAAAAGGCCAAGAAGGCATTCAATTCGATACCTCTACCTCCTTGTTCGATATATGTTGAACTCCTGCTAAAAAATCTCGTTTCCCAAATCTTGCTACCAATGGCACACAAAGTACACAAAATTGCCATTATACTCAAATTCGCTAGACTAAAAGTAAAATTATATGTTTAATTGACCATTTTTCGTATGATAAAAAATGACGCGAATGAATCAAAAACATACACTTGTGGATTCATCTTTTTTTCGATACGACTTCTTTTTGATGGAGTAGCACCGGAATTCAATGAAAGCTTAGTATCAGTGCCAGTAAATACTACTAAACCAATGACCCATTCAGTGTTTTTTAAAACGCAACCTCTTAATAAAATTGAATTCAAGTTAACTGGAATTTTCGATCCACTGCGAGAACGTGGTCTGTCTTGTAATCCCTTAGGGAATACTAAAGTAGCATTATAGCTGAATAAATTGGTTGTAGGAGGTTCCGAGTCAACATAGAACTGAATTTGTGCACAATCTTCTGGTGTAGTTAAATGATCAGTCTCTGGAACACTTGATCTTATTTTAAGATTTGTTTCCCCATCAAGATTTTTTGTCTCAACATAACAAAGGGAATTAGGTTCCGATGTTGAAAGGATGATGATGTCTAATAAAACAATAAACGGTTGGAAACAAAAAAAAAAAAAAAAAAAAAAATTTGTTGAAATAAAATCATTTTTTTCTTTTTACGCGTCTAAAACATTGGAGGTATAAAATGAGCTATAAAGGCCATTCAAAAAAGATATATTGGCTACTTTGTTTGAACTTACCAGCTGGAATGAAATCATCATTACGTAACTTAATGAAATCGCCGACACGTACATTCATAAACATGGTTTGCTTCCAATCCGGACCCTTTCCCTCCTCTGATTTACTAACGACAGTTTTTTTACTAAATAAAGATGACATCAAATTACTGGAGGAGGTAGACGTTCCATCAACATAGTTGACGTTTGTCCAATTTCCCAACGTCCACGTTTTTCTATTATTAACTGATCTATCAGTTACATGACGTTTGAAATCTTCAAAAGCATCTTTAATCGCAGTTATACCCAATATAATGAACATGGGTAATGCTGCCACCACAGGTTCAATAGTAGCGAATTCAGGAAACCATTGTAAAACGACCAGCAATAAAAAGAAAAAATTTGCGATGCGACGGAATTGTTCATATAAATTTTTTGGAATAAAAGTGAAAATATTGTATTTCGAAGTGATAACTTTATTTGTAACATATAGTTGTTTCGGCCGTCCGTGTTTATCAAGCTTTGCGGCGGGTAGAGGCTCGTTGACGAATACTTGACGAGCAAGTAATTGTGACTTTCGGGGCCTCCAAAATTTTAAATGATCGAACATCTTTACTACCCAATACCTTTTAGGTTTATGGAGAGGAAAGATGATGATAAAACTACATGCATCAGGGGTATCAATTTCTATTTAAGTCGTCATAAATTTGTATAAGTAATCCGAATTTGGACAAGGACTCTAATTGAAAATAAATCGTCATATCAATTTAAATTTAACACTATTTATAAAATACAATTTGTACTACCGTACTACTCTCAACGATTTTTTATTCACACTTGAGCATCATACAACTGTCAAAAAGTCTGCAGCTATTGGCGACTGCAACTTTCAAGCATATTGCAGATGACAAGTTGTTAAACAGGGGAAGGTATGATCATTGCCAACGAATTACTTAATTCGTGAGCTCTTGCTTAAAAAAAATTTGAATCTCTAATAACATCCTAAACCGCTATAGTTGTGTTTATTAAGTAAAATTATTTCCAAAAATAACGCGTATTACGTTTATTTATTCACACAATCATATGATTTAACAGCGAGGAAAACAAAAAGAAAACGTTATTGCTCTAATTGAACATATGACGCTTTGCAGTATGGTATGGGAAGAAATCGCTGGACAAAAAAAAAAAAAAATTTAACTTTTTATGTTATTTATGATCCAGATTTAACATTAACAATTAAATTTTTTTCATATTAATTTACCCTTTTAGAGTATTCTGTCAAAATCTTAATGAAATCAAATATTGAATTTAATATACAATTTATGAGACCCCTCATAAATCATTCCCAAAATTATAAGAGTTTTTTTCTCAACAAGCATCTCTTGTATAAAAGACACTTGTAGTGACTGTGAAAGAAGTCGACATAGTGTATAATTTCTGAAATATCCAAAGAGTATATTTTATTCACATCGTTAGTAATATCACCTTTTCTTTTTTAACTAATTCTAAATAACAAGAGGTTTGAATCTCGTTAAGGTATTTATATGATAACTAGCGTCTGAGGTTAGATACTTATTGAAAAAAAAAAAAATAGTTGTGTATAATTTTCATTGAATAAAAACTATATTTTCCTACTACAAGAGATTATCATTCTGTGAACCTCAATAGGTTTAAAAAAAAAAAAAAAATTTTTGACAATTCAGTTGACGCGTATGCCAATACCAATTTTTATTTTTTATAACATAACCAAGCACAGTCTTCATTTTACAATTCAATAAAAATCTTTTATATTTTAGTACGAGAATTATGCAAAATAGTCATAAAAGAAATAAAACCCATTCAATCCTCATGAATTTCCCTAAACAAAAATTCTAGGACATCCCTTTGTAAAGGGGAAATAGAATTCATATCATCATCATCAAAGACAATGCGTAAATTAACCATTTCTTTAACTTTGATCTTCTTTTGATCATTATTACCCTCTTGCTTATCTTCTTCCTTTTCATCATCAATGTGTCGTAGTTCCTTTAACCATTCCTTAACCGTTTGTTCATTATTTCGATGAACCTGAAATTTAGTTGATTTTTCTTTTATTTCTTCATTATCAGATTCACGATTGAATGTCGGCAGAACATCATGTTTCATCTTTTGATATGGTTCTGATAATCGAACAATTATTTCTTGACCGTTTCCACTTTCGTGTTGTGTTAAAATATTTGGCATCTCATCGTTAATCCTATATTTCTTTTAAATTTTTTTTAATATAATAATTAATTAATAAATAAAAATTATAGAAATATTTGAACCTCATGCTTACAAATTTCCCAGTATATTCTAATGCTCGATCAAATCTAAAGAAATACGCTTGTGGTATCTCTGTTAACTTGATATAATTCATATTCTCTTGAAATAAAGTTATCAACTTTAATTTGGTTTCTCCTTTTTCGATACGATCAATGGCTCCAGCTCTTTTGGCTTCGGGTATGGTACCAAAATTTCTCGCATTACAAGGTGTTGAAAAATTATATAGGTAGGGATGTGATCGCATAACATAATTTTTTCGATAATGATTCGGTTTCCTCATTTTTATAAATTTAACAAGACGAAAAAGTGTGAAACTAACTTATTTGTATAAAAAGTTTATGATCATTAAACAGTTTTGTTTTTGTTGCAAGTTTATTATTATTATTATTAATCGGACTTTAAACTTTGTAGTAAGTTATTAACTTATTGGCAAATGAATGTAATGACCCGTTTAATGGAACGTCACTAATCAACGATTATAAAATAGTCATCATCATGTTGAATATTATTCTATAGTCCGATCCAACTTGATCTTCCCCCAACGTTTTGTATGTTGGAAGATCCATATGATTTTGTTTCGGATCCTACTGTGAGCGATGCGTCTACACACCATTCATACCATACTTTTTTGGAGCTAGTTAATCTCCAAAAATAAATATTTAAAGTTGAATTTGATGTGATATAAATCGGTACCTGCGAATATCAATTATAAAAATTAATTACGCGTTGAAAAAAATAAAATGAGAGTATTCAATGTACCTTTAAAGGGAAAAATATTGGAAACCAACTGAACATTCCTTCAGAATGTGTAGCCGGAAGAATACTCATTGTGACATCTTTATACAAAACTGATTCAAAATATCCCGCAATCCCATGTAGTATTCCACTATTTGTTATATTAAAAGTAACTTTGGAATATCTGGTGTTATGATAATTATTCACAGGATTTTCTATAAATCAAGATTTTATAAATATTTAGCCAATCAAATTTAATCTAATGACTATATTTCATTACCTTCTTCATCTATTACAAACGATCCATTTGGATGTTCGAACTGCCAAATTTCTTGAGGTTTTGCCAATTCAGTAACAGATTGAAACATCACAACATAAGGTGTCTCGAAATGAACGAGATCCTTATAGGCAGAAACTTCATTATAAAGTTTCGATGATGAAAGTGGGGAAATGAATGTTCTATAGGAAGACGGAATCGATATCCCATCAGCTAATTAAAATGAAACTTGACTAAATAAATATTTCTGCTATAATTAAAAGGATCTAGATGATTTTAGCAAATTACCTACGTTTCAAGTATTTTTGCGCGCCGTCCAAACACTCTGGAGATAATTCATTATCACCAAATGAACCTAAAAGTTCACTTACAAGAATATCCGCCTAAAAAAAGATTACGAAGGATATAGTCAATAGAAAGAATCAATGTTATTAATTAATTAAAGCTCCGTTGTTTTACCTTTTCGGGAGCTTTCCATTTACGCATATCACCAAACACGATTGTGACTTTATCGCCCCACACTTCAGATTTCATGTTCTGTAATCTAATAAATTGAGCTAGAAAATTAATTTTCACAAGATGAAACTATCTGTCTTGTTTTAAATTATATAAAACATACATGACAAATGCATTCGGATTTTTTTCAACGGCATATATTCGCACTTTACGATTTGCTTTCTCCGCCGCTTTTATACTTCTTGTAACTAGGGGACCACGACCAGCCCCAACTACCATAATAACACTTTTAAAATGAAAAAAAAGTAAGTCAACAAATCACCAAAAGATCATTCAATATAGAATATCTTACGTTATTTCATTTGATTCGAGTGCAACACGATCAAGAAGAGCATAATATACAGCCTATAAATAAGATAGAACAAAATAATCAGTTATATTAATGACTCTTAAAACATGATAATTGAGACTTATGACATAATAAAATAGGTTAAACCTTTTTTTGAATCATAATAATTTTCCACGAACTAAATACATTATAGATTTCATACCTTCTCGTAAAGTGCATATTTCACAGGATCTTTTTCAAATATTTCATATGTGGAAGATTCCAAATTGTCCATAAGTGGCTATATACGATACAACGAAAATTAATAAGAATTTATTTTTCATTATTTTAACTTAAAGTTCACCAAATACCTGTAAAGGAGATTGTAGAAAATCTTGGTATCCATTACCAAATTGCTCGATTTGATTAGGTTCAGGCATTGTGCGATTAATATGTCTGACATATTCCTGATATGCGGCAAATCCTACATCCTGATGTTTACTAGTCATGTCGTCAAAAACAACAAAACTTGGTTTATACTAAACGATAGTGAATTTAAAGTTGTCAAATACGCAACATACATACATATATAAATATATTTTTTAATAAAATAAATAAATCTGAAAACTAAATACAAACCTTCATTAATTTTTTGACAAATCCTTGATGCTTTTTGCTCAATACAGGATAACCTTTGACGTTAGTCAAAAATATTTTTGTAGGCAATATGACAGCCTTGATGGGTTCTGCAAACCATCGTTCAAGGTAAACGTCATCAGGCAGGTTTACCGACAATTCCAATGCTATTTTACAGTATAAGAAGAAAATAAGTTTTAGAAAGTCATAACTTGTAGGCCAATAAAAAAATACCTTACCAATAGACAATTTATGGTGATTTTCACAAAATGTCCTAAACTTGTTCCATTTTTCCCACATTTCAATATCATTAGAATAGGGTGTATCTTCATTGATTATAGGTATTCTCATCCAAATCTAGTAGAAACAGTAAGTATATATTTATTTTGTTTTAAGAGAAACAAATCCACTATTTTTTTTTTCAGGAATACAAACATGTGTATAAGTCGAATTTCCAAGAATTTTGTTTAAACTTCTTGCATAATTAAGGAAAGAATTTGTTGGTGTTGGTACAAAGATAGCAGTTAACCCTAAATGTGCCGCCCAAGAGAATTGTTGATTTAAAGCCTTTATGAATGAAAAGAAAATATTGATGATAATTCGTTTTTGTCATAAATATATGAACGCTTCATTGGATTTACTTACTATTTCGGAATTTGTCCTAACTTGATGATTCGAAGAATCCAAATCGATCCAATCTGAAATTTTTCCAACCAAATAATCGACGTGTTCTAAATTTCATGATTGCAAACGTTAATAAAATCATGAAAAGTTTCAAATGACTAAAAATTAAATTTACCATTATTTTGTATGATCAAATCATTTTTTAAAAAAGGTTTCCCATTTCTCCACTCTTCCATTAACCGTTTTTCTTTGTTATCCTCAACTTTATCAAACAAAAAACGTTTATAATCAGAATGTGTTATAGGAAGAATTATAAAATCATGGCCTGTTTCTTTAGCTGAAGTAACAGATAAGGCAGTATCACGATCTTCTTGACTATAAAGAACACCAACAGCTACACGAGGCACATTATTGTTAGACATGATAAAGTTTAAAAAAATTTTTTTTTTATAATTTTGGGATCTTCAATCAACATCTATCATAAAATTGTGACACGAAATGAAATCACGCGTATTACATAATAAAACGCGAAGTTGATCGATCACCTAGTTTCTCTGTTCCAAGGAGGAATTTTAAAGAAGCATTAAAGAAATTTAAGTGAAACACGATATAATTTCCCCTTAAATTACAGTAAGATGTCTACAATTAACAACACGACACTTAAGGCCTATTACTCGAACCTTACTTTTTTACTCGACTTTCTTCGACTCCACCATGACGAAAACGTCGAGTTACTCAAGGAAGAAGATGAATCCGAATATAAGAAACTTCTTAGAAACACAGTTATAACTGCTGACACAACCCAAAGTTTCCCTCGAATTACGAGGGAGCAACAAGATTTGGACTCTAAGAGAGGTTCTGGCCTTGACTCTGTATTATTTTAAAATGGTTTAATTTATATTGTTTTGAGGAATATTTGGGCCATATGCTATTAAAATCATAAAGAAGATTTGTAACTCGATTTTAATATCAGCGCCCCCATGTTTTCGTAAAGGCAATAATAATAAGAATGACATTAATTTGTAGACTATAAACCAGGCCATTGCTATCCTGGTTAATCGGTCTGACAAAAAGTCGACCAGTAACGTGGTACGTTTTGGATTTGCTAGGCCAAAAGCTTTGAACTTACAAGGATTTAGATTAACCGGCATCAACTCCACAGTTGATTATATGAGAAAATCACGGGCCTGGTTGAAACTATATATGAGGTATGTTCCATATGTAAATTATGATATCATTTTAAACTTATTGATGAATTTATATTATCAAATAAATAGGATCGGCCATGAACCTATGATTTTCTTACTGACCAATTTTTCTATATTCCTTGAACTTCAAAATGGATGCTACGTTCAATTAGCAGGACAAGCTATAAGCAATTTGCCAATACCACAAAGCTTGCCATCTTCTAAGAACAAAAAGCGAGTTTCTGAGGTAAATAAATATTCATGTGTGGCCACGACAGATAAAGATCATCTTTAAAATGGTACAAAAAATTTAATGTTACGACAAAAAAGTATTTTATCCGTGAAAATTTAATTTGTTCATTTTTTTGAAAATTATCATTTTGACCACAATGACATCTAGGTTGGTCCAGTTCCTTGCCCACAAATTTCTACTTCAAGCCCTTCTCAGACTCAAGATGGTTATTCGTATTTTCAGAGTTCTAGTATAATTGGGTCACAAAATGTCAGCCAAAATGATCTTACAAGCGATCGAACTACTTCCTGGAAGAGTATGCTATCGCAGGACATCAATCCCATCTCTAAACGTCGAAGCGATGTTCTTACCTTTTTCAGAAAGCTACATGAAGAAGAAAATAAAGCGTTTTCACAAAGTTATGATTCGATGTCATCGCTCCCTTCTCAAACCACTACTGAGAGTAGCTCACAAAATGATACTCTTTTTTCCTCTCAAAGTACATATGAGACAAGTTCACAAATCACGACACTGTGTTCTACAAGTTCTGAAATTGATATGATTAATGATGCGAATGAATCTAGCAGCATTAGCAAAGGAGGGAAACTGCTAATCTCAAATGATAACGCTTCAACTGGGCTAAACGACAAGGTCAGGACATGGATAGAAGAACCGAGTCTTATAGAAGCTATGCTTCCTAACAAAGAGATGAAGGAAGAAGATATTGAAAATGAAAGCATGAAATCAATCTCTGTCGAACCAAAAATTGAAGATACATCATCAAATTACGCCAAGTTTAAAGAACAGACTAAAGGAATGTTTCTCAAAATTATGGATGCAATGCATTCCGATAAAAAGACTAGGAAAGAAGATACAGAATCATATCAAGTTGGGGTTAGCGACGAGTCTACCATGTTTGATGAAAATAAAAATCCAATGACTCCGAAAAAGCGTCCAATCGAGAATGTTCAAGAAAATTCTTACAAGGCTATCATTTTGAATAATCACGAAGTGGTTAAAGTAAGCACAATATCAAGGGATGTCAAAGAAACTAAAGATATTATATCAAATGTTTCCAATGTCGATAATGAGTTGGCCGTGTCAAATGAAGATAATTATCTTAAGACTCAAAGGAAACGCTCAATAGAGGATGCAAATCAGAACAAAGAAACCTCTTCTAAAGCAATTGTTTTGAACGACCGCAAAGTTTTGAAAATATCTAACACGGTTTCTTTATCAAGTTTGTGCTTTTCCCGGTCCATCATGTTTTTTAGTTCTCCAACCTATAATAACAATGGCCTTTGTTATGGCCTTCCGAAAGAACGTAAATATTGTATTTTAATGTATTTTTATAAGATTCTGCCTTATCATAGCGCAAGAAATATTGACTAAAAGTATTTATTTAAGACATCCTTAACGTAGCTAAGTTTTCTAAAGAGGACGTTATGTTAGATTCCGTGACACGTCATATTTTTCCAAGACAATTTGGCCTCAGGAACGCATTCATTAATGAAGGAGCTTCATCTCCAGATTCATTACATCACATTTATATTAATAGGAAACTCAACGTAAGTATCTTAATTAGAATTACTTATCTTTCACACTTGAAGATTTAAAAATTCCGAGTATAACTATGCAATGAATATATTAAACTAGGATTCGCATTATGAAATTCCGGATCGTCTACAACATATTCTTCCGTATGTTGATCGCATAATCAAACATCATAAACTTTGTCATTATAAAAATTTACTTGATCAGAACTGTCCAATCCAAGTAATTAATTCCTTTAATATTTGATTCTTATTATATTATATTATAAAATTCGTATTAATACTTAATATTATTAGTTCTTAGACGAAACAAATGCAGATGAAAACAATTCGAATTACAACAATTCTTATCAAGTAATGATTACAATATAAATTCTCATATTGATCCTGAATTTTATTCATATTTTAGTTTCTGATAAAGAAATATTAATGTGTTAATAGGTTGCAAAGTTTGTTAAATCAGTATTGGATTTTATAATACCACTAGAATTTTGGGGTGGCAAAAATAACAAGACCGTAATTTATAAAATGGTCAAAGTTATTATTGAGCGTCGTCGTTTTGAAGCTTTGTCGATGCATGAAGTTCTTCTAGGTTTTAAGGTTGGCCTACATCATTGTTTAATTTCATTATTATATCAAAGATTTAACGATCCTTTTTAAGTGAATTGTTCCTAAATAATAGATCAAGGAATGCCAATGGCTTGTGCCACCTGGTGGTGAAAATTCTTGCAATAAAGTGGAAGCGTTGAAACGCTCTGAGATATTGCATGAATTTGTCTGGTGGACTTTCGAATGTGTTGTAATCCCGCTCCTTAAGGTAAACGAAAATATTTTTTACTAGTACGCTGATAACCGCAAAATCTTAATGATGTTCCTCTATTATATATATAGATAAACTTTCATATAACGCATAGCATAACGGAAAAATATAGGCTGTTCTACTATCGACAAGAAGTTTGGTCAGAGATGTCTAAACGAAGTATTGAGCCCTTGTTAGGTTCTGTATTTGAAGAGATCCCATCAGAGATAGTACCTGAAATATTAGAAGGCAAGACATTGGGTTGTTCTGAAGTAAGATTTGTTCCTAAAGATAATAAAGGGAAGCTTAGACCTATTGTTAATATGAGACGTCCAATGTGTAAAAATGTAAGACGATTTTCTTTACTTTCTTGTTTGATGAGACATAGACTTTAAGAATGTATTATGTTTAATTCAAAAGGTAGATCTATCAAGCAAAACTACTCGTCAAGGTTCGAAAAAGCCACAATCAATTAATGCTATTTTGAACACAACTTTTCAAATTTTAAAGCATGAAAAGGTAAAGTTTTCAATCTTATTACTACTAAACTTAACGTATTTTAATAATCTTTTTTTTTTTTTTTAAAAAAAAAAAATAAAAATAAAGAAAAACAACCCATTGTTATTGAGTGGATCTGTTTTTAGTTATAATGAAGTCCAAGACTGCTTAAAACGGTATAAGCAGAATTTGGTTAATAAAGTTAATAACGACAATTTTGAGCTTTATTTTGCTAAAGTTGATGTAAAATGCTGTTTTGAATCGATTGACCACAATAAGCTCATGGAAATAATTCACGCCAATGTTTTCACCGAAGTTAGTATACTTTAATATTATTCAATTGTTATTATTAATATAATAATGCTAGTATAGATATCTCCTAATCCTAGATTCAGTCACAATATGTAGTAAACCGGTATGAAATGGTTCATCCAAAAGGGGGCGAAATTCGTAGAAGGAATGGTCATTATGTTCATAATGGAGGTAAATTTATTTGATGTAATAATTATTAGAAATTCTATTTGTTGTTTCTTACATCATTCCTTTATCAATTATTATAGAGGAATTTGTAATTTTTCCAAAATATGCTAATGAATTGGCTCAGAGATATAAGAATGCAATCCTTGTTGAGAACGTAAGAGAATCATATAAGGATCTAGGAGACGTCCTTGACCAGCTGGAAGAGCATATTCAACATAACGTTATAAAGGTAAACAAGTATTTTCAAAAGATCCTTACTTTTATTAATTCAATTTACTAACTTTGTGTGAATAGTCCGAAAACAAATATTATTTACAAAGGGTAGGCATTCCGCAGGGGTCAATATTATCATCGTTATTATGCAGCATTTATTATGGAGTTATGGAGCGGTCCGAACTCCTATTTGTAAAAGACAATGACGGAGTATGTACTTGTTTAAAGATGGTTGTGTTTGTTATCATCTTATTAATGTGTTATTTTATTAATAGGTTTTGCTCCATTACATTGACGATTTCTTGTATATTAGCACAAACAAGGAGGATGTCATAAAATTTATTACTACCATGCACAAAGGGCAACCTGAATATCGGTGTATTATTAATAAGAATAAAAGCATGGTAAACTTTGATCTGGAAATCTCCGATGAAATAATAAAGAAAGCTGATAATTTCGGTAGGCATCCTAAAACATAATTTACAAATTTTTCATTTGTTTATTAATATATTTATTATATTATAAAGATTTTCCATGGTGTGGTTTGCTCCTTAACACCCGCACCTTGAATATCAAGGCTGATTATTCTCGATACTTAAACACCCGTAAGTATTATATTTAGGTCTTCAATTTAATTGACATTTAATTGACTTTAATGATTTTACTAATGCTTGTTAATGACTTGATCAGATATTTCCAATATCTTGAATATGACTATAAAGAAAGGAAGCCATGGTGAATTTTTAAAACATAAAATGCTCGAGTAAGCGTAACGATATTTAATATGATTTCTTTATATCTTTTATCTAATACGATTTTTTTTTGTTTTTGAACTAGATCTGTGACAACAAAGTGTCATCATATCTTTTATGACGCTTCGTTGAATACCAAGGAAAACATCTTGTTGAACATATACCAGAACTTTCTCATGGCGGCAATGAAATTCCATAATTATGTAAAAGGAATGTCTAGGCAGGGCTCCCAACAAAACGAAGAATTTGAAGCTGGTAGGTGTTAGATTTATTAGATTTATAATACACTATTGATTTGTAATTTTTTTTTCGTTATATGCTGTAGAAGTGGTTCACAACACCTTTGACTCAGCATATCGGGTACTGAACAAATATAGTAGATGCACTTTTAAAAAAGAGGAAATTGTGTGGTATTTAATGGCTTTTTAAATTTTCTTCAATTCCTTTTAAATTAATTGGATGAATATATAATTTTTTTTTTTTTAGGCTTGGTGCTTATGCATTTCGACACATTTTAGAAAAAAAAGTCGATCATCGGGGCGTATATCATCAGGGCGTACTCGTTCAACTCGAGAAACTTTTCAAAGATTCCCAGGTAAAATCCAGTAAGCTTCTATATTCCGTAGTCGATTTGAACCTCTCGTCAGTCTTTAATAAAATTAAATTTTGAAATATATACATATATAAAACTTATGTTAAATTGCAATGCTAAAAAGGGTTGAAACCAAATGAATATGATAAACAATTGAGTCAGTGACACGTAAATATTTCCATTATTTATGGTAATCTAATTTTGTCCTACAAGATCTAAAATCGACTGATCAAAAAAAAATCGACTGATTCAGGCACGTCAAGAATTTGTTGAAAAATTTTCGTTCTCTGTTATTTTTGACGCAATTTTTACTTGCGAAAATGTCTAAAACCAGTCTTAGCAACAAAATTTCCATTCAAGACATTGATGTCAAAAATAAACGTGTTTTGATTCGGTAAATAAAAAATCCCTTTTGAGAAATATCGTAATTGCACTTTTTAAAATTCATTTCTTATTTTATAGCGTTGACTTTAACGTTCCTTTCCAAGATGGCAAAATATCCAATAATCAACGTATCGTCGCAGCTTTACCTACTATTAAATATGCTTTGGAAAATGGTAATTAATGTTTGCTTTTCAATATCATAAACATAATTCCTGTAATTAATCGAGATTTCCTTATATTCTAAATAGGAGCTAAAGCTGTTATCCTAATGTCTCATTTGGGTCGTCCAAATGGAAAATCAAACCCTAAATATTCATTGAAACCTGTTGCCGATGAACTCGGTCGTTTACTTGAGAAAGAAGTTTTGTTTTTAAATGATTGTGTAGGCCCCGACGTTGAATCTGCAGCGTCCAATGCAACTGGAGGTGTATATTTTAATTATTATTTTTTTTATGATACAAAAGAATTTACGACATATTTTATGATTCAATCATGACAATTAGGTCAAGTTATCCTACTTGAAAACCTCAGATTTCATATCGAAGAAGAAGGTTCTGCCAAAGATGATGCAGGAAACAAAGTAATCGAATATATAAACGTATGATTTGTTGATTTTACTTAAATTGTTTGCCCTAATCGTTTTTCATACTACTTGTCAGGTCAAAGCCAAACCCGAAGAAGTAAATAAATTTCGAGCATCTCTTTCAAAACTTGGAGATGTGTATGTCAATGATGCTTTTGGAACGGCACATAGAGCACATAGTTCCATGGTCGGTGTAGAACTTCCCAATCGCGCTGCTGGCTTCTTATTAAAAAAGGAACTAGATTTCTTTGGCAAAGCTTTGGAAAATCCCGAAAGACCTTTCTTGGCCATTCTTGGAGGGTAAAACATTTATTTATTTATTTAATTTTTAAATTTCATTTTGGAATCGAAAGTGAAATTTATTAGTGTCTCGAATTATGACTTTATAGCGCCAAAGTTTCTGACAAAATTAAATTGATTGATAACCTCCTCGACAAAGTTGATTCCATGATAATTACAGGTAAATTCTATATCATAGGTTATTGCCTTTACTAATATAAATATTAATTTTTTTTTTTTTGTTAATTAATAGGTGGAATGGCTTTCACTTTCAAGAAAACCCTTGATGGTGTAAAGGTAAGAATAAAAAAAATAATATTAAATTCAGCGTAGTAATTATTTATTTAACCAATTCTTTTTCTTTCAGATTGGAAATTCTTTATTTGATGAAGAAGGTTCCAAGACAGTTGCTAATTTGGTTGAAAAAGCCAAAACAAAAGGAGTGAATTTGGTTTTCCCAATAGATTATGTAACAGCAGACAAATTTGACAAGGATGCTAACGTAAGTATAATGTTTTATTGTATCAAATAAACAATTTTAATTTAACAAAGATTTACCTTTTGTTTTAGACTGGATATGCTACGGATGAGACAGGAATTCCCGATGGATGGTTAGGATTAGATTCAGGAGAAAAGACAAATGAACTTTTCAGAAAAGCAATTCTTGAGGCTAAAACTATACTATGGAATGGTCCTACAGGGGTATTTGAATTTGATAAATTTGCAGTTGGTACAAAATCGGCCTTAAATGCAGTAATTCAGGCCACACAAAAAGGAGCTACAACTATTGTAGGTGGTGGTGATACTGCAACTGCTGCCGCTAAATGGAATGCTGAAGATAAGATTTCACATGTATCAACTGGTGGCGGTGCTTCTCTTGAATTACTTGAAGGCAAAGAATTGCCTGGAGTTTCTGCTCTTTCTGCAAAACTATAATGATTGAATAATTATATGATTTATTATTTATTATCTGTATTTTTTGAATATTTGTATAAATATGAGAATTTTATATTATAAACTTTTTTTTTCTTTCTTTTGAAATAAGCTTATTATTTTTTATATCTTTATTTCTTTAATAACTTCTCGATTCCTGTCTTAATAACTATTTTTGAATGTAAATGAAACTTCCGCAGTAATTTTGCGTTAAAAAAAGCAAGCAATGTTAACCTTTTTCCTTTTGTAGTAATAATCGATTTATTTTGATCTACAAAAAGTTCAAAGATTGTATAATTATCTAAAATGGAAATTGTGGAATATCGTCATCCAGGTTACACCGGTGTTAAGCTAACAGGTCAGGTCGTCTTTATTGATGATTTATGTTTAAGGAAATAGATAGTGGCAGAGATATAGTTTTTATTTTGTTAAGATTATACTTTATTAATTGTGCGATAGAAACTTGTTCCTTTGTCAATACAGGATATTTATATAAAATACAACTATAAGAAAGAAATATTTAATATAATAAAGAAAAATCAATATAACTATGAAAATAAATATAATGAATATAATAAGATAAATATCACAATGATAATCGTGAAATTAGTGAAAATGATGATCACAGTTTTCATGGTGATCATTGGTGACATTATTTGGCGCAGTCATTTAGTGACGCATACGGATTATCACTAACACCGGATATAATACGTTTTTTTTGGAGGGCCTCCTTCTATCTAGTTTCGCTCGAATCATTATCGATGATTTGAGAATGTAGTTATAATCGTTAATTTGAGCAAAGGAATATGGAAATACTAAACAATCTACTAGCACATTGTTGTTATAAGTATTACGTTTTTTCGATGGATATTGATAGAAAGATTATATCTGGAGAATAAATTTAAAGCAGAAGAAAACCATCAGAAATTAAACTAATGAAAAGGAGTTACGGATAGTGTTTCAATCTGATGTTTCTGGATAAATAAATGGATATTTGGATTTTCAAGAGGAAATACTTGTTGAAAAATCAGCAACGAATTATACCTCCTGAACCCTCCTCGATTAAAAAGAGTATCTCTTCGAAATCGAAATAATCTCGCTGGGAATCTCCGGATAGTGGCATGTGAAATAAAAAAATATGAATATTGATGTATTTTTATTTGACCAAAAAAATGAAATGAAATGCACATTTTTTATTGTGCAGTTCTATATAAACAATAATTTGGCAAATTATATTTTAATTGTTCTCTATTAACTTAACTTTGCACAAAAATATGAGCTTTAAAAGATTTTATTTTGGGATCAAATTCTATTTATACAATCATTATAATTATACATAAACTTGGCTTTACCAAATAGTAATTTCAGATCACCTATATTTTGACTTTATCATGACAATTTGCCGCTCGTAATCACTAAACGGGTTGGTTTTTCCAAGAAATAATAATCGAAAAAAAAAATAATTTAATTATCAATAAATATAATACTGGAAAAAAGAAAAAAAAAAAAAAATTAATTTCATTTTTATTGATTTTTTTATCATCCAAAGGGCGTCTTTAGTGACTATTATATCGTGACTTCTACGGCAATGAAATCCAAAAAGGGAACGTTAATTGGTATTGTCAGCTCAAAAAAAAAGTTTATCCCTGATATTCAAAAATACCAGAATTATCGGACTTGCGGATAAAACTCATAAAAATGAAACAATTAACTTGTCTTTTGTTTTAATCTCTTGCGGGGCATAATGAATAAATAGGGAAGCATGAAAGTAAGCATGGGACTGTTTTATTTTTTCGTTCCTTTTGCTCTGCAAACTTTTTCCCCTTACTAATTTTTCGGAATATTGAAGTAGCTCTGAAATCGAAATGGCTCCATTCAACAATTTTTTTTATAGGAGGTTGGTCTGTGGGCTGGAGTAATCAAATTTGATAGAGTAAAGGACTATGTAGGCGGGATGATAAATACTACATCATTTTATTTTGATAATTGTTTTGAAACATAAAGTAAAGTTTCACTTTGAAAATAACTTTTGGCAAACAAACCTTACTAGAAATTTATTCCTGTAGTAAGCCGAAAGCCTTTTATTACAATAGTATTGATGTTTAGAGTTTGAATTTTCAACCTTAAAGTTAAAAATGCATATAATTACCGCAGTATCTGATCACGTTATCACATATGCAATGTTCGGAGAATGTTTTCCGTTGATCTAATTTTGGTCGTGATAATTCCTTTTATCTCCTTATTGAAATAAGCAATTTTTACAAATTTACCCAGAATTTTTTTTTTAAAAAAAATAAATAAATAAAAAATGGTTGTAAATAGCCATGAAAATGAGGCCCAAGTTCTAATAGAATCAGAATTAAATGTCTCAGATAAGAATTGTTCTTATTGCGATAAACCATTTGCCGAGAAATTATGGTGTAAAGAATGTGACCCATGGTGTATGATTGAAGGATGGACTAGTGGAAATTCTGATATTGATAAATTCATCAAAGATACAATGTATCATACAAGAAATGTAAAAGGATATCCAAGATTTCTTGAATGGGTGCCTTTTGATAGAATCACAGATATAGAAGAAATTGGTGAAGGAGGATTTGCCAAAGTGTATTCTGCGACATGGATCGATTTTCAATCGGGATTTTATAAGCAAGATGACGGAAGTTGGAAAAAGTATGATCCTGAACCTATGAAGGTTGCTTTGAAAAGGTTATATGGATCACGGGAAATGTCAGCTAAATATTTTAGTGAGGTATATCATATTTACCTTTTATATTATTAAATATTAATATTTCTAATTTGCTTAAATTTTCATTAAAAAACTAGCTTAAAGCACATTGGGATTTTTATAAAAGATATCCTCTCGGATTAGAATTTTATGGGATAACTAAGGATTCAAAAACCAAAGATTTTATTATGATCGTACAATTTGCACCTGAAGGAAATTTGAGAAGTTATCTTTCAAATAAATTTAACAACTTGTCATGGGAAGATAAAATTGTAAAATTATTTTTTTTAAGTAGTGGTCTTTATAATTTACATAAATTAGAATATTGCCATAAGGATTTTCATAGTGGAAATATCTTGCAAGATGGAGTTGATGCTTATATTTCAGACTTTGGATTAACAGGACCAGCAGATAAGCAAAAATCGGATGATAAAATATATGGAGTATTACCATATATCGCTCCAGAAGTCTTGAATGGTGGATTATATACTTTGACTTCTGATATTTACAGTTTTGGTGTAATTATGGCTGAATTATCATCCGGAAACCCTCCCTTTGATGATAGAAAACATGACGTATCTTTAGCCTTGGATATTTGTAATGGACTTCGTCCAGAATTTGGAAAAGGAACTCCTGAAGTTTATAAGAAATTAGCTTATAGATGTATGAATGCAAATCCAAACCAAAGACCAGAAGCTGATGAATTAAATGATACAATTGATTTTTGGCATAAATCTATTTTTTCTGAGAAGTATGATGATACTAAAGAATATGGATATTATGGAAAAGAAATAAAGGAAGCATTTGAAGAGGCAGATAAAGAGATACAAAGTATTTCAATTTCACGTAAAACGAATCCTGATGCTATATATACAAGTAGAGCATTTACATTTAAAAATTTGACAAAACCTATTAATTCGTCTCTTATCACCTCATATCTTGAAAAGGATGAGAATAATGAAGGTAATATATTCTTAACTTTTTTATTTGATAACGAAATATTAATTTCAATGCATTTTAACAGAATTTCAAGATTCTCAATTAATTGAATTAGGAATTTCTAGCTCATTACAATTAAGAGGTATATGACATATCGATATTCATAATTGCAATTTAAATATGAACTAATGTAGATTTATCTATAATGGTAGATGTCAATAATTGAGTGTTAGATTTTAATAACGATCAAATAAAGTTTTAATATAAATCATTTCTGAATATATAATTCTTATAGATATAATGTTATTTATAACAAAATTTTATAAAAAAATATATAAAAATTTAGTTTTTGTAAAATAAAATAATTTAATTAAATCATTTTAATAAAATATAATCAAAAATGAAGAATTTCAAGATTTGTAATTTTAAATCTGATGAATATAAAGGAAAATGAAGTTAATCATAGTTAATATTTAAATTTATAAAACAAATATTAAAATTATACAGCTAATTTTGTATTTTTATTACAAAAATGAAGATAAATTGTTAAACTGAGTCCAGATCATTTCATTTTCATTGACCTTACCTTTTTCGTTTGTAAGGCGTGAAAGAAACTTTTTTCGTAGCCTTTGATACGAATAAAAACTATACGAGCTCCACATTTATCGGATTTGGAAAATCAAAAATGAATAGAGTCTCGTCCATATTTCCAATTAAATTACGATGATTTATAATATAATTAAGAAAATTTTGCTTTTTTTCTTCTAAATTTTCATGTAATTGTTACATTATGTACGACGATTATAATGATTTAAAAACAATCAAGCCATTTGATAATTTAAATTTGGAAGATTTTGAAAATTAGCACTTTGAGCAAGTGAAATTGCTTTTAATAGTTATTTAATGTCTGAGTAAATGTGATTTGTAACTGGCAAATAATCCAATTAAATAAATTCACTAAATGTAATTAAAATTTTTTGGTGAAGCTTTAACTAATTTACCTTTTTTATGGTTAAATTATTTACTGATTTCTTTAATACTAATTTTATTTTGATTATAATAAGAGATGATTTGACAATATTTCTTGAACATTCCAATTTATGCTATACGTGCTTTTAAAGCACTTCGATTGCTAGTTATAACCATTTTGAATCGTAAATTATTTAAAAATAATATTTAAATAATACTTTACTTACATGAAATTACAAAAAAAAAAAAATTTAAAATATAGAAAGTTAAAGACTATTTAATTATTCACTTCATTCATAAAGTAAAAAGAAATAAACTTGATTGAATTTTGTAATCTTATTCCCATACTTTGGATTTATGGCGCCAAATGAATTTTCTTATAACTTTAAAATTTTAAATTAAATGATCGAAACAGATTAATTTATTTTGTCAAATAATTAAAAATATATATATATATATTAAAAAGAACTGAAAATACCCTTTAGTTTGATTTTATGAAAATGGATGGAGGTGTCAATAAAGCGTTCGAATGATATACAAAAGGTCGTTCTCAAAGGTTTATCAAGTTAGGATTTTTATGAGATTGGAATGAGGACGGGAAAAAATTACGAGACAACCTTTGAATGGTATCGAAAATCCTTAGAGATTGGAAATAAATCGTAAAATTAAAATAGGGTTCTTTATGAGTAAGGTAGAAGTGGAAAAAGACTTTGTAACTCTAATAAACCGCGCTGCATAATTTAGGAAATGCTATGAGAATGGACGAGAAGGATGCGAATAAAGGATTTGAATGAAAAACAAAATTGCAAAAATCACGATAACATCGCGATTGAAAAGATTTTGGAAAAGCCTTCGAATAGTATCAGAAATCTGTAAGAGGTGTTGAGAGAGATGAAGCAAAAGCGTTTGAAATGGTATGAAATCGTCAGAGCAAGGTTATGATAGTGCACAATACTATCTGACGTTATTTTATGAGAAAGGGATTTGCCGTGGAATTAAATTTAGAATAGGCTTTCCATTGGCAGAAAGTGGAAAATTAATACGCACAATATAAATTAAGTAGATTCTGCGAAGGTGGAATTTTTCCGAAAAAGATGAGCTTGAATGGTTTAATAAATCCGCATGCAAACAATGCACAATACAGCTTGTATGAAAAAGGGATGGGAGTCGAAATAGATTTGGACAAGGAATTTTATTGTATCAAAAGCAACAGCGAATGGAAACAAGATAGCTCAATATATTTTAGGTAATACGGATTGGGTATTTAAAAGAACTTAATGCATTTGAATTGTATTAGTAAAACAAGATTACATTGATGCAAAAGTTCAATTAGGGAATTGCTTTAATAAAGAATTGGAACTAACGTCGAAAAGAAAATCATTCGAGTTATATAAGCTTGCCGCCGAAAAAGGAAATGCCGAAGCACTGTTCAAAGAAAGTGATTTGATCATCTTTTAAAACGACACGGTCATATCCAAGATTTGTTTTTCAATTAACTATATGCTACATTTTTCTTTTTTTTACACGCGACGCTATGGTTCTGTATCATATAAATATCATGTATTAAAATATATTCGATTATATAATTTGTGCTAAGCTTACGCTTAGACCATATTTTTTTGTACTTGCATTCTAATAAAAGAACTATATGGACTGACTTTAAGAATCTTCAAATATTCATTATTTATTAAGGAATCTTTGGCATCAAATGCATTGGTAAGGTTTTTTTTATTTTATTTTTTTTTTAATTGACGAGTTCGTTCGAAACGACTGAATGATTTTTTTGGGCTTTTTTTTTTTTTTTTAGATTTTGCGCCTTTTTCATTCCTTTTTCGTTTCCAAAGTTCAGAGCTTTGACGATAAAGTTCTTGTAATTTTGGGTGATATACAGTATATAATTAAATAAACGATCCAATAAATAATTAAAATGTCTAGAAGTACATGGTAAACTAAATTTGTAGAAAAAAAGAATTGATAATACTTTGTAGGGTTTCTGTTCGAACATAATTCAAATTTCCCGCGAGATTGAAATAAAATATATTATTACTATAATTCTTTAAAATCTTTATTTTCAAATATGGTTTGAAAATTGATGTTACATTCGAATAAATACTGACCGAATATGAAGTTAACTACAAAGATAAATCTTGTAAGGTTAGCTACGTAATTACAAACGAATTCTTTTTTCTTTTTATAGCTAATATACTATTTATGATTTAATACAAGCGATAATTTGAAAATTTTAATTTTATATCATTTTCAATTGTAAAGGCGCGCAAGTTAAGAATTAACTTAATTTTCGATTAAAATGTTCATTGGGAATTGTGAATGGTTTATGGTTATTATTAAAACGTTTTATGACATTTTTAGTATGAAGTGTGTAAACCTGAAACTTTGTCGTCGATAATAATACCAGACTTCTATATTGTGGGACCTTTTTTTTTTTTTGCTTTCTTAATAATAACATCGAAACATTATAAGAGACGCAGTGAAGTTTAGATAAGCGAAACAAGCATATATTACTTTTGAAGATTCATAACCAATATCTTATTAATGACCTTAATTTTTTTAAAATAAAAAAGTTTTTCATGTATATATAGTACCTACCATGAAAATAAACTTCCCGCTGCAAGGCAAGAGCAATAAACTATGGCCTAAAAGAATGATAAATACGGGATTTCATTTTATTTATTTATTTTGCCTCCTTTTTCGATCGCTTCGTGCCGCAGCGATCTATTATATTATTTCTGGATTTTTTATTGCGACTTTTCTCTTTATTTTTCTCATAACTAAATATCGAATACTGTATAGTTATAGTATGTTATATTTTCAGAGAATCATTCATATGATTAAATTATTTTATATTAAATTTATTAATTAGTAAATAATAACTGCATAAACATTGATTCATTCAAAAAGTAAATAAGCTCAAATAAACAGAAGTTAAAGAATAAAGGAAGCATAAATATTTATTCTTTACCGTAATTATGTTTTTTTTTGTATCATAAAACTAAATTTGACTCAATTGCTAACCGTGGAAGTGACGAGAAATGTATAAACAAATCAAATAAATGGTATTTGGTTCTAACCAAATACATATTAAATAATTCAATTTCCGTTTAGAATGACAATTAAAGCAATTTCCTTATTCTGAACTTTGCATTAAATCATTTTGAATTTTATTGAAAATCTATTACTTATATGTAAAAAAAGCAAGTTTAGTATTTTCACACGTGTGAAAATATTAGTGTTATCTGAGAAAATAAGATCCCGGACGCCACTTAAAATTTTACCTCAGTAATGTTAAGCAATAAATTAAATTCATCTATATTTTTAAGCTTAAAGAATTCCAAAAATAAAGTAGGAGTTTACAAAAGAGGTTTTATAGGTAATTAAAGTGTTATTAATTTTATTTTTTTTTAGAACAAAAGTTATGGTAAAGTTTAGCTAATTTTCTTATGTAGCCTCACGGACGTTGCAAAATGCACACGAAAGTGAGAAAAAACCAAAGCCTTTAGAAGGAATACGCGTTCTTGAGTTAGGACAGGTATAATTTAAACATATATTTTTGAAGCATATTATTTCAATGATGATAATTTAACGTATTTCTTATAGTTAGTAGCAGGCCCTTTCTGTGGAAAAATTCTTGGGTTTGATATGATTTCTTTCAATTTCTTTTTCTTTTTCAGATATCGATAACTAATTGTTATAATTGTTCTTAAAGATATTATGGGGCAGAAGTGGTATGTTATAGTTCTTTACAAAAGATAATGATGATAATAGATTTATGTTTAATAAAAAAGAACTCCAGATTAAGGTCGAACCACCAAAATTGGGAGATCCGCTAAGAGTATGGAGACATTTAGACACCGATGGAACTAGTCCCTGGTATCGTTCATTGGCAAGGAATAAAAAATCCTGTGAGATTGATTTAAAAACCGTTGAAGGCAGAAAGTATGAATTTTTTTTATGTATAATAATTTCTCGTTTTCAATATTTCATGGTCTATTAAAATAATTTTTGATTCATTAAAAGACTTGTTAGTCAATTGGCTGACAAGTCGGATGTGTTGATTGAAAATTTTCGTCCTGGTACTATGGAGAAATGGGGGCTTGGACCTGGTATCATTAACCTTACGTTGAATTACTATATATGATTAAAGTTTGTTATAATAATAACACAAAGATTTTGTTAGATGAGCTTTACAAAACAAATCCTTCGTTGGTATATGTACGTATTTCTGGTTATGGACAAACAGGCCCATACGCTAAAAAGCCTGGTTACGCGTCAGTTTGTGAGGTAAAAAGAATAACCAAGCATGTTAAAATTATATGAAAAACGACTTTTTCTTAATTTTTAGTTTATTTTTGTAAGGCTATGGCAGGATTCCGTTATATCAATGGGTTTCCTAATCAGGCACCAGTTCGACCAAATATATCCTTGGGTGATTCTGTTGCTGGATTAACAGCTGCACTCGGTGCAGTTATGAGTCTTTTAGCTAGGAATAAATTATCTTCAAATGCTAATTTAAAAACTGGACAGGTTGTAGATGTAGCTATTTATGAGAGTATGTTTAATATGATGGAAGGAATTTTGCCAGAATTTGATCGGTTTGGTGAGGTAAAACGGTTTGAATTATGATAAAAAAAATTACATGTATAATTCTTTTCTTTTAAATGACTTAAATGATTCGCTTTTTTGTTTTAGGTAAGGCAACCATCAGGTACAACTGTTACAGGTATTGTACCAACAAATGCATACATATGTTCAGATCAAAGATATGTAATAATTGGGGGTAATGGAGATTCTATATACAAAAGACTTATGCGTACAGCAGGTAGAGAAGATCTTGCAACAGAAGAATATGAAACAAATAAAGAAAGAGTGAAGCATCAAAAATTAATTGATGAAGCAATTAGTGATTGGACAAAAACTCTTACGTCGAAACAAGTGTTGGAAAAATTAGAAAAAGTTAATGTGCCATGTGGTAGTATTTATAATATTGAAGATATTGTTAATGATGATCATGTTAAAGAACGTAATTTAATTGAAATTACTCACGTTGGTAAAAATAAAAGTGATGGCGGTTATGACTTAAAGGTACGTAAAAAAAAATTTATATATTTTTTTTTATGTTGTATTTGCATAATGAGAAAAGATTCATTTATTTATAATATTTTAGGTTCCTGCTTTATCACCAAAGCTTGAATCCACACCTGGCGAAACTATGTGGGCCGGATCTGATTTAGGCGAACATAATCATGAAGTTTTTATAAACCTTTTAGGATTAAAAGAAGTTGATGTTAAAAAAATGCAAGATGATGGAATTATAGGAAAAACTATGTAAAATTTCAAGATAATTAATTCAATCGCTTTCAAGTTCTTGTAAAGAAAATACATTTTCTACTTCGATAAATTGAAACAAGTTACATACATGATTAATAAAATCACTAATTTATTCTTTAAATTCCTTCCATAATTCTTCAACTTTTTTTCTCTGTTCTTTAGCTTTATCAGCATTTTTCTTTCTTATCTCATTAAACTACAATTAATTAAGGAAAGAGATTATTAATCATCTCAAAAAAAAAAAAAAAATCTTTTTGAAAGTGAAATTTGATCACCTCTAATGTTAAACATTCATTTAATTCTTTTTTAAGTTCATTACAACCTCCAAAATATTTTTTAAAAAATCCTGATTTGTGACATTCATCTAATCGAAGAATAATATCAACGCATTCTAAATTTTTATTGATTGGCATTAGATTAAAATTAAATTATAACATTATTGTATTAATTTAAGTTGCTTACTTGGATGTTTGTGAAGTGCTAAATTTGGATGCATTGTTGCATTGTTTTAAATAAAAAAAAAATTCAAGATTAGAGAAATGCGTTCTGGTATTCCATGTCACGTGAAAACTTAATCTGGGTTTCCTTTTTTATCATGTAATTTATTTCGTGTAACATCTCTACATTTTAATATTAAAAAGGATCTTTGTTAAAGCATTAGTCGGAAAAAATTATTACAAAAACATGTTTGATACAGATCAAACAAGTTTACCACAATATCGAAATCAAGCACCAATTTATAGTCGTTTTATTAGTCGTAGAAATTACATTATTAGACTAACGCTTGTTGGCTTGTTGTTGGGTACGACAATATGGATTACATTAATAAAGCCTTTGGTTGAATCCGAGTCGAGTATAATTCTTAGTGACTCAGCAAATGCTGAGAAACAAAATACCGAGCCTACGCAACCAATGTGGCAAACAGATATAAAAGAAGTCATTGACGGACGATTTAGTTTATTTAAAAAAGAACAATTTACAGAGGTTGCTTTAAACAAAAATGGGATGATCCCAGTGACAGCAGTATTATTGGGTTGGAAAAGAATGGAGAGCCTGCAAATAGTAGTAAATTATATTTCAAAATATCCATTCATAAAGGAGATTCTTATATGGAATAATAATAATAAAATGAGAATTTATGCCAAGGTAACTTTTTTATATGATAAAGCTTTCATTTTAAACCATTCAAAATCTTTAAACTTTTTTTTTTTTCTAGGATTTTATTCTTAACAATAGTGAAGTTACGTTGAATGTGTTTAATTCTGAAAAAAATCTTCATGATCTTTCAAAATATACAACGTGTTCAATGGCCAAATATGATTATTGTTATTTTCAGGATTATAATTGGTTAAATTTATATATGGACAGTTTATATACAAATTTCCTTAATAATCCAAGTTTAATTCACTCAAATACAATGCCAATTAATTATTTGGAACACAAAAGGTGGATGTTTGCAAATTCAGATAAAAATCTTCATACTGGATTTACGCGGCTTGGATGTGGTTCCTTTGCATCACGTGCAAAAGTTCAAAGATTTTTAGGTCAACTTGGTTCGATATCTTTAATGAAAGATAGATTAAAATTTGCAGACGTGTATTTTTCTTTATGGACTAATCAATACCCATATCAGCTATCAAATCCGTTAATAACTTTAGACAAAAAGGATGGTTGGAAAGCCGGTGTGAATCAATGGAATGTGGATCAATGGAATTTATTTTACAATAATATCGTAAGTTGGTCGGCGTATTGTTCATGAAAAAGGAAGAATTTTTTTTTAATTTTTGCAGTAAATTATTTAAAATAGCTAGATGCAACTCAAAAGCTATATACAGCATTGGCCGTAAAATCTGGTTCGGAACTTTTCGCTCCTGAAGAAGAGCAACCCTATTATAATGACAGAGATGCTAGGTATGTTATGAAATTAAATTTTTGAAATGAATCGATTTGTTTTTTGATTCTTGTCATTCATTTTAAATATTTTTTTCATCATTAGAGCTCCATGTTTAAATGATAATTGTCTTTTTTTAACAAACATCGATCCATTTCCTCATCCATCTCGAGTTTATTACGCAAATAATATTACTCATGTTCATGATCAAGAAGCAAAATTTAACGAACTGGATTTTCCTGAAAATTCTTTTTGGGAAAATCATGCTTATCATCACGCTGTTGATTTGAATGAAAGGACATGCTGGAATTCATTCAAAAGTAAGTTTTTGGTAACTTTTTTTTTTAATAAAAAAATTGGTCATTTATATCTTTTTCAATTTTATAGTTCCAAAGATTGGTGATTATTTTGGATTACAATTCGTTAAACCCATATTTTCCGAAAAGATCACAATTGTATCAACAAAAGATATCAGGAATTTTGACGCGTCTTTCAACATCCTAGTTTCCCTTGATGGAAATGAATGGGTAAAAAAATATTTTTTGATAAGTTAAATAATAATATATACCAAACTTTATTAACAATTTTTTTTTTTTTTTACCTTTAGCTAAAATGTACCGGAATTCATTCTGATAGTATTGGTTATACTTTTACTCGGATTACATTGAAATTTAATTGTCCCGATATTGCAAAGACCAAACAACTTTTCAATTATATTAGAGTTGAGGCATCAAGGAATTTTACAGAGCCACTTGAAATATGTTCTTTAATGTTGGATGGATTAAGTGTATAATATGTATTTATTTGTAAATTTCAATAATAATAATAATGATAATGATGATAATAATTTTAATTTAATTAGCATATAAAAATCAATTTATTATTTAATGTAGCAAAAATAATATCTAATTTATGTCAAATATTTTAGAACAATAGGAATAGAATAATAGAAAACTTTTGTAATAAATCTCAACTGTATATTTATTATAAAAAAAAAATAAATATTTTTATTACGACTATAATTGCAAAGATGATGTAGACCACATCTGAAAGTGGCAAAAATACATTAAGAGAAATTATTTTTTAAATTCCACTCTCTTAACTAACCCATTACCTAATCTTTCTATTTCTAATATAATCGCTTTAGTATTTATAATAACCTTGTTAGAATAATTTTTTTCACCATTTTGGGTTGGTTGTTTTTTGGGATCATCCTTCTTTACTAAAACCTATGCAATATTTTAAGACGTGTTACACATTTATAAAAAAATTTTCTCAAAACTTAAAATGATATTAAGGTACTAACCTTCTCCCTTTCTTCATTTGATATTAGATCGACGGGAATACTAGAAAATCCAATGTTGACTTTCCATGGTTTAGGAATAAAATTTGTGGGGTTCCATACTACGCCGATAAAGGTACCACCATATTTATCATAAAAGAATAATAATGATGATGTATCTGAATAAATCTTCTCTAGTTCATTTATATAACATTCCACTGGATCAAATCCAATTAATGGCCATTTTTCCTCCGACTCATCTTCCTCACTTGACTTTTCACTTTTTTCTTCATCATCTACTTCGATATTCTTTCTCTCACTTATTCCTGCTTCCAATTCAAAAAGTTTTAAAATTTCTTCACGTTTTTCATTTTCTCTACGATCATTATCTCTTATAAAATAGGATTTGTCGGGATCTAAATTTTGGTAATAACGCGTGCACACACTCGGATTCAAATGTATTATCACGTCATAATCTTGTAATGGCGTAACAAATAATCTCTATAAAGATTCGGAAAAAAAAAGAAAAAAAGATGAAAGTCTGAAGAGAATTCAATCGAACAAATAATATCTATATATATAAATTACCTTGAATCCGTTATCATCTACTACTTTTCCTTTAATAATTTCATCGACGCATTCAATTGCAGCTTTAGCTAACTCCTTAATTCTAATAGCCACAACTTTACTAGGTTTCTCCTCTCCCCATATTACGCCTTCATTTGATATTGTATTGATAGTAGCCAAAAACATCGTTGAATGTTTATAATTTCCATTCGCCCTTCTCTTATTCTTAAACTTTTCTAAAAGTTTCTCAAAAACGCTTTTCTTTGTCGTCTCATCATTGACATTTGTTCCGTCCTCAATTGCATTTGTACTAGAAGTACCAATTACGACACTTCCTTCTTTGCTATTATTTGATTCGTCTAAATCGACAATAACAGGATCATTTTTCCAATCCCATTCAATTATGAATTCCAAAACTCTCAGAAATCCCACAAATCCGCTTGAAGGTCTTCTCCAAGGATTAGGATTTAAATAAATCACAGCACATAGCACCTCAATAAATTCTTCATCAATATGCATTGATGTTAATAAATGTGCACTAAACCATCTTTTAGTTAATCTAATAGTTAAAGAAAGTGAAGGGTGTTTATTACATAATGTTTGTATTTGCGTATTATGTAAGGGTAAGTCAAGAAATTTCCTTCTTAAACGAGATAAAGCTTTCGTATAAAGGTCTCGTTTTGCCGGTGTGGAATTTTTATCTTTTATACTACGGTCCAATAGAATCAATTCACGTTCATGATATATAAAACATCTAAACGTAAATCTTGTGGCGGTAAAATAAATTTCTAAAAATGTATTAGTTGATATTATCGCATTTAAATTCGATGTAGCGACAACTTTTGTTTTTGTTTCGGGAAATTGTTTTCGAAATTGATTCGATAAACAAATATAGAACGCTATCTTCATTTTCTGTATAGCAACGAGATCATCAGGCCATTTTGCTGAATATTCAAACTGTATAATTATATCAATAGGTTCGTTATAATGGGATTGAAGCGCATCATCAAAATCCTTTAATTTCTGGTGAATTGGTTGAGGTATAAACACGGAGGAATATCGAAGTGAAGGACTCGATCCCTTAATACTTGAAATTCTCAAAGGTATATCTTCTAACGCGTAAAATTGCTTTACCAATTTATCATATGCACTCATAACGTGTTGAAACCCTTGATTGCTTAAGTCTGGATTCCAAATTCTTTTTGGAATATCCCGAGAAGGTCTAACAAATTTATTTAGTTGTCCTGCCCAATATTGTATTCCTTTGTTCTCTTTAATTTTATAATGCAATTCCATCAAATGTAAAACAATTTGGTTAACAACCAAACTCCTTGATTCTATTCCTTGTTTAGAATCCCAAACAACACATTCGAGAATACTTCCGTCTTTAAATCTTCTAACTTCTGCCTTCTTCCCCCATAATTTACGAAACTTTGCTGCTGCAATTTCATCTTCAGGTGATGGACCATAATCAACAAGTCGATTGGATTCATCAGGATTAAATACAAATCCAATATAAAGATTAGTATTAGATGAAATATACGTTTTTGGTTTTTCAGAAGTGGACCAAGGTGGTAATTTGTTATAATTGACTGCGATTAAATTGACCCTATTTGTAAGTCCTTGCTTAAGTAACCTTGGTATTGTCTTTGCAAAGTGAACAAAAGTATCAGGAAAATCTAACTTGGCAGCTTTATTATATTCATTATATGATTTTGGGATTTGTGTTATTCTGATAAAAAGGTAAAGTTAGATTCCTGAATTGTGGAAAAGGTTTCAGAAATATTTGAACCTTACCTTGCGAAGTTATCATATCTTAATTTCACATTATCAACTCTTTTCAAGAACAAAGCTTCAAATCTATCCACGTGAGGTTCGTTAAAATATTCCATCGCCAAAATGGCCTCTTGTTGCAGCTATTTGAATTAACAGAACAGATATTATTATAAAAATATATTATTATAAAATAATGGCATAATCATTAATTTACCTGATCTATAGCGGTTTTCGACATTCTACCAAATAAATTTAAAGTTCCATAATTATCAACACATACCACTTCAAAATTGTCTTTGAATACATTCTCATTAAACTAAATATATGTATGGAGTAAAAATTCAGTGAAATTAACATCTGATTTTCCTGGCTCAAACAGACACAGGTTTGTCAAGAATTATAAGTAAATACCTCATTAGATTTAGAACTGTTATCCATAAATACAGGATTGTTAACAAAATCATGATTCGCTATAAAAAGATTAATAATGAGTTAATATGTTAAAGTGATGATGATAATAATAATAATAATAATAATATATATATATTTTTTTTTACCTAAATAATCCATAGTTCCTTTCATTAATTGATAAGAACTAAACCCATTTGCCAGTTTTTTTCCACCATTTTGACCTCCGGCATGTAACAAATATTTCGTCAACATTGACCAAGTAAATCCATTGAATCCACTTGAACCATCTTCATCCCCACCAAATCCTCTCTGATTCAACCAAACTTTGGCCAGTTTACATGCATCCGCAAATGCACTACATAACTTTGTTTGTTTATAAAGATCATGCAGATGTTTTACATAATACATGTCTGATAAAATTGCATTATTGTATTGAGGTGTTGGTGGAAGATTTGAAGCAGAAATTTGAGGATCATTTGTATCATGGTGTGGACGAACGTTGTTACGTGAAGGTGATAACCTTCTTAAAGGAAATGTTTCCGGTGAAATACTTGGCAACACTCTAATTACACAATTCAGCTTTGAAAAGTCGGTGTCCGAATGATCTAATTAAAAAACTTGCATTTAATGATTCGGTCATAAATATTAATATTATTAGATATATAAACTTTAAAGATGCAAGCTAACCTCTGGAAGGTTTTAGTATTAGAATAGGGCGACGATTGTCGCCATCAAGTGTTTCGAATTCCACATTTACGTTCAATCCTAATTTATTCTCTTGCAATGAAGCAGCCAATACCGCAAGATAATATGACCTCTTATAAAAATATCTATAGTTCATACAATCCTTTTCCTGAAATAATGACTAAAATAATAATCATGAATTTAGTGTTAAAGTGGATTAAATAAAAATATCAAATACCGAAGAATTACCTGAGGTAATATAACAGCCACATCTACGTTAAAACCGTTTCTTCCAAGAGCCACAGTTTTCAGAGGATAACTCCCAACAATGTAAAAAGCACTCGGTTTCTTAAAACCAAATCTAATCTTTATATCATCTGGAGGTTGTGGGTCTGGAAACGGAATCACAACCTTATGATCTTTTAACATATTGGCCGTGATTTCGGTTATCTTTTAAGTAAAAAAATAGTTTCAAAAATATTTAGAAAAAAAAAAAAAATTTTTTTTTTTTTTATTATAAATTCTAATTTTACCGTAAGCTCAGGTTTATCTTTAATATTCTCAAGTATTTGTTTTAATTTATGTAAGGCGTTCTCCAAACGTGTTGTTGCGCTATAATCTAGATTTACTTCAGACAAAAGTTCATCAATCTATGTAAAAATATCTATTAGAGTATTAATTAATAAAATTTACTATTAAATAATAATTAAATAAATCCATTTAACATACCTGAAGTTTAAATATATTGGATTTGAATAAACCAGAAATCTCTTTTAATCCTTGAATTTCTTCATTAGTTGGAGCTTTATAAATTGAGGAATTTTTATATCCAGGTTGTTTGATATTAGCTTCTGTTTCATGTAATTCCTTCATGTTTTCTTGATCCATGTCATCCTGAAGTTTTTGCAAAGGATCTATTATTGCAGAATCATCCTCTTCATCCTCTTCATCATTTTCAACATAATCATCCTCATGATCTTCACCAGTACTTTCTTCTGCTTCAATATCCATGTATTTATTCACATCCCCATCATCATCATCGTCATCATTGTCGTCGTCGTCGTCGTTGTCTTCGTCATTCAGGTATTTTCCCAATTTTGCAGCTTCAAGTAAATCTTCATCATCATCGCTTATCAAATCTACAGAACCTTCCCGTTCTTCCTCTTTCGAGTCATTCATAAATTCCTGCTTAGAAACCTTTTCCAATTGAGGTTCCGAATTCAAACTTTTTGTAACTGATCTTTTCTTTGACGGTGGCAATGATAAATCGTCACCATCATTATTATTCACTTTCGAATTATTATTGACCTTATAAAATTTAAATTGAATTTTATATTTTTAGATATGAATTTGATTAGTTTGAAAAAAATATAAAAATGAAAGAATAGAGAGAATAGCAAGTAAAAATTTTCGTACATTATTATTTACAGAATTTTTATTAATGGGATTTGATTTTCTTTTTCGATTTGATCGGGTCATAATTATTTCGAATTAGACGAAAAGGAACAAATTTTTTTTTTTTTAAAAAAAAAATTTGCGATCTGAAAAAATTTTTAAGATTTGGTGACGTTATAGCACGTGACATTTATCTAAAATTTTTAGATGGCACCACAGAACAGGAATTGGGAATTTCTTTAGTTGGCGATTTAATAAAGATTTTACTGAAAATAAGAATAATTTTATCCTTCGAAACAAGCTGATAACGACGTATATAGAATTTTCTTTATTTAAAAATGCCAATAATTTGCTTAGTAATGCTTATCGTAATATCGTTATCAATGAAAATCATATATAAGGTTCAAAGATCATTTAAAATCGTACTCATAAACTCTCTCCTCCATGTATTTGTCTGCACACAAGGCAACTAGAAAACTTGGAATCTCGTCAGACACCTTACGTCGTTGGCTAAAGCAAGGAAGAATTACTGCTAAAACGTCTCCTTCTGGTACCCGCCTTTACAACATATCTTCCATTTTTCCAGAGTTGACTTCCCAAGATGCCGATAACACCACCACTGCCGCCTCCGCCGCCTCCGCCGCCACCAAAAAAGGGTTCCTCTATGCTCGGGTCTCAAGTGTCAAGCAAAAAGAAGACCTTGAACGGCAGAAACAACTCCTCAGCTCCCGATTTCCAACCTATGAACTCATCAGTGACATCGGGTCAGGAATCAACTTCAAACGCAAAGGACTGCAAACCCTACTGGAACAATCGTGCAAAGGTCTTGTCGGAGAGATTGTGGTTACCCACCGTGATCGATTATGCAGGTTCGCCTACGAACTCCTCAAGTACGTGTTCTCACTCAACTCTACAAAACTCGTGGTTCTCTTCGATGATTCAACAACCGACGAACATGAGCTGTCCGAAGATATCCTTGCTATCAACACCGTCTTCATCTGCAGATTGCAAGGAAGAAGAGCAGCCAAGCACAGAAGGGAAAGAAAAGAAAAGAAAGAAAGTATCAACAGTGAGAAAAAACAAGAGAAGAAAAGAGGACAAAAATGTGAACAGAACGTTGAAAGTGAAATTGTACCCGAATCTTGCGCAGAAACGCTTGCTGAAGCGATGGATGGGGTTAGTGAGATTGATTTATAACACAATCATTGACTATCTGCAGAGTAGACGGTTTTTAATTGTGTGTGTAGATAAAAATGGGAATAAATGTAAGAAGATGATAAAATTTCCAAAAATACAATTTCTGAGAAGGATCGCGTATTTAAAATTGAGGAGTAAAAAAGCCTATGATGATATACCAAATAACATAATTGACGAAACTGTAGATGAAGCCGTTAAAAATTTCAATTCGAAAGATAGCAAAACCAGGTTGAAGTTCAAGACCAGGAAAGACCTAAATCATACCATCACCATACGCGCACAAAATTTTTCAAAAAAATATTGGAATCAGTTCTACATCTCATCCCTATTCAATAATTCTATGAGAACACCAAGGAAGAAACCATATGATCTCATGGAAGGATCAAGAGATCTGAGAGCTTTGCATTTTGAGACCAAGAGAAAAAACAACAG